CCATCCGTCTTTCCACACCTCCATCCACTGACGACGAAAAGACATCCGCCGACACATCATGGCTCCCATCCTCAACTTCCACGCTGGCTCGCTGCCCAGCTTCGCATTGCGACTCAAGTCCGACGACTCGCTCGAGAGGTACGCATCGGTCCCGCTTTCTCGCACATGGAAGCTCTCCGAACGGGGTTGGCTGACAATAACTATTTTTCCGCTTCGCCCAATTCGCAACTGCGCCGCAACCATAGCCTCAAGTCTCGTGCTGCCAAGAAGATCCGCTTGCAGCTCGATGATGGCATCCCACTCGTGATCAAGTACGGCTGGTCGGGTCAATCGTATGCCCTCGAGGACTGTGCGTTTCTATTCATCTTGCGCGTCAACCGAGCTGCTTCCAACGCTGACTTTACTTCCTGCTCGTTCTGTAAACAGCTGACGACTGGGAGATCTTCCTCGAGCGATTCGGCAATGCCAAGGAGGCTGACCGTAAGTCGTCCGACCAAGAGACAGTCTTACTTTTGCAACCGTCAATACTGACGCAATTGGTGCACCTTGATCCCTTTCCTCCGACACAGTCTTCCTCGAGTCGCCAGAGATCCCTACCAACAATGCCGACGAGCACTCGGCCGATGGCGCCCACGACGGACCCAACGTGCCTGTCGTCGACGAGTCCACGCTTGTGCACCGAACGCCCGGACGCGGCAAGAGCGGCGGCGTGAGCATCCACCGCGTCGCAGCGCCCTACATCCCCTCGGCGGACGACTACAGCGAGGCAGGCGGAGTGACTGCCGGTGGCCGCGACTCGATCATGTACCCTCCGCCTCGCGAGCCCCAGCCCGCGCCCGGCTACAGCAAGCCGAGCGTTCCGGAGCCGCCGGCGGCCAAGGCGACGCACGACGACGCCGTGTCGACGCACACGTCCAAGACGCGCAAGACGAACCAGACCGTGTCGTCGGTGCCCTCGCACAAGATCGCCTTCCAGGAGTTCCACTCGCAGCTCGGCGTGCGTCTGCTCAAGGGCAGCATCGGCCCGATCCAGGACGTGCCGATGATGCTCAAGTCGGGCTACCGCCACGTGTACGTCAGCCGCAGCTTTGCGCTCAACCACGGCTTCATCCCCAAGGACACCACGCCCGGCACGTACGGCTTCAACGGCATCACCAACCTCGGCAAGTGGCCCGTCCAGGTGGGCTCCAAGGCGGTGCCGTGCACCGTGATGCTCGCCGAGGACAGCTACTTCCCCGTGATCCTCGGCCGCAGCTTCATGGAGAAGCGCGGCGTGCGCACCGACCCCATCGACATGACCTCGGTCACCTTCATGGACAACGGCGAGCGCGCCGACGTCGAGGTGGTCGTCGTCCGCGACGAGCACGGAGAGCCCGTCCCCATTCCCTAAGCACGTGCGTTCGATTCCAGCGTCCACCATGCCAGCAAGCAGATGGCTTTGACTGCACGTCCATGGGCCGATCCGCCGCTGGCATGCTCCTTCGTCCGCTGGAATTGTGACCCGCGGCGAACGAGTTGCCTCTTCTGATACCACAGATCGTTTGTAATTGAAATTCAGCCAAGCTCACTGGACCACGCCGAGTGTTTGAAACAAGTTGAGGCCCGTGGCGTTGCTGCAGCGATAAGGACAGGAAAGGTGTGATACAGACACGGAGACGAGTGCGGGCGAAAGGAACGGTGCAGCAGATCGGAAGTTGCAGTTTGGAGTCGGGAGCGGGCCGACGGGAGCGCATCATGCGTGCGAAAAGAGATTTTTGAGCGTGTTGAGGCGCAGTTTGCGCGAGAGACGGCGGGCGACGTTGTTGCTGCTGCGGCGGCGCCTGCGCACGCTGCTCTGAGCGCCGAGGCTGGCTCTGTCGGCGCTGATGCGGTTGGAGTCGGTGTTGTAGATGATCGTTCCGACCAGCGTGGCGTCCTCGGCCCAGGCGCGTGCATACTCCGCCTCGCGCTTGGCACGGTAGCATCGATCACGTCGGTCGAGCTCCGATCTGGGCACGCGCTCGGACGGATGCAGGAAGACAATGCCCGCAGGCTGCCGGAGCGCGCGTTGCGATGTGTATATGAGCGACATGATGCTCGGTGGCGATGTCCTGGGATCGATGCGGTTTCGCGAACCACAGAGGCTAAAGCAATCGCAACGGAGCTATGTCGAGATGGTTTGCAGCCTCGCCGATATGAAGGTGGGAGGAGGGATGGATGAGATGCGTGCAGCGCGGTTCGGTCAAGCATGGATGAGCGGCACGCCATCCGGGCGGGGGCGGGGGGACATGCCGAATCGGACTCCAGCCGATCCCCTTTGCGGTCGGCACTGCGCCGGCACACCACGGCGATCTGCGCATCTGCTCAGCTGCACCCTGCCGCCTGGCAGACCCTTGCCAACGAGCCTCCACCTGCCTCAACACGCTGCTCTGGCCCGGCGCGTCTCGGCTTCATGGCTGACGGCCCATCCCAGCAGCAGCTGCCATAGCCATCAAGAGGCCCATCATCGCTCCTCTAGACGATACGACGGCACATTCAATGAAAGCGAGAGCGGGCATCATTCGGTCTTTGATCATTCCGCATGACTGAGCAAAGGCGGAGACGCTGAGACTCAAAGTTGGGGCCAGATCAGGCAAGCTTATCAAGCCGCGGTCTAACAGTCATAAATCCGGCGGCTGCTGTGCACGTTGACAGGCGCCTGCGAGTTCGGTGCAGATGCAGCTTCTTTAGACGCACAATTTTTCCGTCGGCCAGATCCGAGATTTTAACCGGCTATCAGAAGATCCAAGTCGAGCCTCCCTATCACGCTCGCTTCTCTCGAGACCAACACCATCACCGCTTCACCTCGCAAGAACTCGCCGCGAGATAGTAGCAAACATGTCGGACGTCGCTCACCTCAAGTCTCTCTTCCGTACGTGTGATGCCCGCCTTTCAGCTGGGCATAATGCTCATCTCCTTGTTGCGATGTCAATGCTGGTCTTCTCTGTGGCTGGTGCTGATCCTTGCAACTATCTTTGCGCCCTTCACACATGAACAGGCTTCTACGACGACTACCCCAAGAAGGGCATTCGCTTCTGCGATATCCTCCCCGTGCTGCGGGACCCGCTCGCTTTCGAGCTGCTCATCACCAACATCGTCTCGCACATCTTCACGCACACCATCCCGACGCTCGACGACGCCACCCCCGCACCCGCCCAGTCCACTCCCCTCGAGCCCGGCGCCAAGTCGTACGGCAGCCGCAAGATCGATGCTGTCGTTGGCCTTGATGCCCGTGGCTTCCTCCTCGGTCCCATCATCGCCCAGCGTCTCGGTTGTGGATTCGTCCCCGTCCGCAAGGTTGGTAAGCTCCCCGGCGAGTGCGTCCAGGCCTCCTACATGAAGGAGTACGGTGAGGACGTCTTCGAGATGCAGAAGGACGCCCTGGCCCCCAACTCGCGCGTCATCGTCATCGACGACCTCATCGCAACCGGTGGCTCCGCCAAGGCTGCCGGCGAGCTCGTCACAAAGTGCGGAAGCAAGGTCGTCGAGTACGTCTTTGTCGTCGCCATCCCCTTCCTCAAGGGCGCACAACAGCTCGACGCCCCCTCGTACCAGTAAGTGACCTCCTGTCCCCTTTCGTTCCTCTGCCGCTCACCAAGCTGACTCCATCTCGCTTCTTTTCGCTTCTTCTCAAATAGCCTCGTCGAGGTCGACTAATGGCCACCATCTGCTGAATCTAGACGGACTTGGCCAACGGTCCGTGCCGCTCAAACCTAAATGCAAGAGAGAAAGATGGATTGCTGTCCCTGAATACAAGCCTCTACAATGCAGTGCGTGACAGTTTTTGCAGCGAGTCTGGAAGCGTAAAGAACGAGGTGGTCAGTCAAACGGTTCGGGCTTTGCGCAAGCCAAAGGCACGCTATGAGATACTCACTGAGCAGCACGTCGCCCTCCTTGATGATCTTGGAGTACTGGGCGTTCTTGTGGTCTGGCCTGCGCGTCTCGACGATGCCGTGTACCTTGTCGATCACTGCGGGCAATCGACCGGACGAGATGAACCTCGAGAGCTCGTTGTCGATAAACTCGCCCGACACCCCGAACGCGGTGGCCATGTTGTCGATCGACAGCGACTGGTAGCTCTCCAGCAGCTGCGAGTAGGCGATGATGCGCATCTCGCGCACATAGTATCGCGCGTGCTGGTGAAGCGCCCGCGACGTGAGGACGTGCGTCTGCTCCACGTCCGCAAGCGCACGGAAAAAGTTGCCGTACTCGCACGCGTACAGGCTCGTGACAAACGCACGCAGGTGCGGGATCTCGTCCACCACCTGCAGCACCTCGGGCGAGTCGATGATCTTCTTCTTCAGGTCGGTGCGCTTGAGCGTCAGCGCATTCGCCAGCACCGTGAGCGTGATAAAGTCGTTGTACTCGAGCAGCTCGGTGGCGGTGAACGTGCTGAGCGCGTCGAGGAACAGCTGACCACCCGCCTTGAAGTCGCGGATCGAGAGCAGGTGCAGGCCCTCGTACACCTTGAGCCGATTCCTGCGCTCCCAGTCTCCGCCCTCCTCGACCAGCTTCTTGGCCTCGGCGATCGACGCGGTTACCACGTCCGTGTCGCCAAAGAACAGCCCGATGCGCACCTTGGTGAGCGTGAGGTCCAGCTTGGAGCCCAATCCGGCGCCCTTGGACACCGCAAGGTTGTGTGCCTCCAGAGCCTTCTCCTTGTCGCCGATCTGTGCGTAGTAGGCGGCACGCTGACGGAGTACGCCATTGATCTCCATCTCTCCCTCGTTCTCCTCCACCTCCTTCTGCTTTTCGTCCAGTTTTTGCAGCTCCTCCTTGTTCTTGGCTTCGAGTCGCTTGAGCAGCGCCTGGTCCTCCTTGACCAGGCCCTTGAGCGAGGCATCTGCCAGAATCAGGCGATAGTATGGCGCCATCTCATCCTTCTCGATTCCCTCGAGCAGCGCCTGCTTCGAAGCCTGTGCTGTGGATGCTGGAAGATGTTCGGAATGTTGTGCGAGCAGGAAAAGGTGCTGCTGCAGCTTCAGGTTGGGGATGGCCTGAACGTTCTCCTCGTCCATCTTGGTGTCGATCGTGGCTGAGTGTGCGGTGTATGTCTGGTTGGAGCTATGAGAGGCCGATGCGCACTGGTGTTGATGGGCGGTGCGAGCGGCGATGGTGTGAGAGCAGACACGTCCGCAAAGGTGTTGGTGTGGCTCCAGATTCCAGTTGGAGGTGCGCGGCCCGCGCGAGGATTAACGCGGTGGAGGTTCAACTCGGTGCGATCACGACCTGCTTATGTAAGCACCCTTTTCGCGAAGCAGTTGACGCCTCTGCCTTCCTGCCAACCCTCCTTCCCTGGCCGGCAGCGCGACTCGGTCAGGTGGCCTGCTCCCGCCCTATGCAAGGCCATAGTATAACGAACGACGACCTGTCTCGCTTTAGCAGTTGAAGGCTTCCCTTTAGCATGTGCCGTCAAAGCTCCGTCTTTCGATGTGAATTTTGGGTCCACGATTATAGGCATGATTTTTCCAACTCAAATATGTTCTGTGCAGCTCAAGGTCATCATGGCTCGGGACAACGCTCATATCATAGCGCTGCCCAAATGCGAAAGTCTGCGAGCCCAGACGTTGCGAGATGGACATCGCTAAGCAGCGACGCAGCGTACAATTACAGCCCATATTGGGGCAGGCGGGTGCTTTTACAAGGGAATGAACAGGGCCAAAGCGCAACACCACCATGCAGGACACTACCTGCCTGGGCTGCGGCTACGATCGCGATTGCCCCTCCTGCTTCCGTTGCCGCGGGGAGCGGGTGCATTGTGTGGTGGTCGGACGAATGCAAAGTCGGCCTTGAGCTCCTCATCCATGAGAGTGAGTCCGTCAGTGCATGCTTGGATCGCTGCTTGCGCCTCGTCTTGTTCGGCAAACTCCAAGAGCGCATATCCCTGTTCGTTCGTAAGGCAAGCATATAACGCTTCTCGTCAATCCCGAGCAGAGCAAAGTGTGTTCGACTCACATGCAGCGTCCTTACCTTGACATAGCCGGTTCGCCTATCGAGGTTGAGGTGGCAGCTCTTGACATCGCCGTAGTCCGCAAACTTGTCAATCACCTCCTCTTCGGTGGCTTCCTCGTGCACGTTGGTCACAACTACGACCCAGCCTTCCACAGCTGCAGGGGTATACAAGCCCGAATCAGTAGCTGGTGCTTCCACGAACGGCAATCCTTCATGGCCTGCTTACACTTTGCTGCGCGAGCGCCGCTGTCGTCAGCCTCAGCCTCTGTGAGGGACTCGAACTTGCCCGTCTTGACACCGTCTGACGCGGGCCCATTGCCTCGAGGATCAAAGCCTCGCCCTCTGCGCTTGACGTTCGGATCTGTGAAGCATGCAAAGAGGGAGCGAATCAGCGAATTGCGACGAGGTCAGAAGAGTCGAAGTCAAGGCTAGGACGTACCATCATCCATCTCGACGTCGTCCACGACGCGCGAGGACGGGCCTTCTTCCATCTTGACCTCGATCGACGACATTGCTGAAGTGCCGGCTTGTGACTATGACTCGAGGTGATGCAGCAGTGGATGTGCCCAGAGGGGCCGGACAGATGGAAGTAGATGAACGGGGTTGCGCTTCCGAGGCTAGGAAAGGCTCGTGCTCCAAACGAGTGGAGAAGGGTCTCCGAATTCCAATTCTCCGTCTTCCGAGCCGCGGCGACCCTGACTTCTTCGCCAAGTGCAACGCGCCTTGGCCTTCACACCCGACCCTCCGCACCCTCACCTTGCTTCCGCATCCTCTTCTGCCCTCGCAGCTTCGAGCCATGAGCAGCACAGAGCTCGCTGCAGAGCGGCTCCGGCAGTGCATCTCCGAGCTCTCGACACCTTTGCTCGCTGCCTTGTCCGAACTTCGATCCACACAGCCACAGCAGATCCTTGTTCCGTTCAAGCAGGTTCGTGACCGCCTAGGGCCTCTTGTGGATCAGGAAAACATCAAGCAAGCTTTCGGTCTCGTGGAGAATCTCTCGGCCGCCGACAAGGATGGACCAGAAGTGCGGGTGCGCAACCTCTGCCTGGAGATCAGCAACAACGAGCTCCGCAAACTTGTCCTCGAATCAACACCAGACCTCACCGGGAACAGCACAGACGAGCCAAAATCTCAGACATCGCTCGAAGCCGCCTTTGACCGCCTTGATGCTGTCCTAGTGCTCTCGCTGCACGATTTGATAGATCCAACCTTGCCGCTCTCCTTGGTAGAAGAGCTTCTTGAAGGGCTTCCGATATCGACCTGCTCGCAACTGTTTGCTTACACCGAATCTCGAGTCAAGCCGCTCACCGTAGACCTGCATCCGACAAGAGGCAAAGGGCTTGTGCTCTTGCGCACATGCAACGAGCTTCTCAGGCGATTGTCCAAGCCTTCGCAGCATCACACTGTCTTTGCAGGTCGTGTCCTCAGCTTGCTCGCAGCCGTCTTCCCTCTCGGCGAAAGGAGTGGTGTCAACCTCCGCGGCGACTTCAACGTGGAGAACAAGACTCACATCGAGGAGAATGACGGCCAAGCCGCCGAAGAAGCCAACATCGATGCGGATAGAGACGAAAGAGACGAGATCTTCAAGGTAGATTACGACTTTTACGAACTGTTCTGGAAGATGCAACGCTTCTTCTCCGACCCGCCATTGCTGATGGGAGCGTCTGAGTCTTCCAGACCATCCACCAGAAGCGCAACACCCGCGCTGCACACCGAGGCGGCGGACACCGACAACGTTCAAGCGGATGACGATCCTGCTCCTGATGGTGCAAAGGGACCCATGGCAGAGCTCAGGATTAGCACCCGCAAGATCCTCAAGCTCTTTGCTGCCGTCAATAAGCGAGAGAAGGAGCTGGCAGGCGCCGCCCTGGCTGAAGAGGCCAAGTCGGGCGAAAACAAGGGCAACAACGCATCGCAAGCCAATTCCACCAGGAGCACTCCTTCGCTCAACAAGAGGCGCGCAGATGGTCGCGGCTATGCTTCCGCCACGGGCTTCTATGTCGGCCAATTCATCGGGAAGGACGATGCGCCACCCCCCGCTAAGCGACTTCGTCCTGACGTCGTGGATGGTGTCAAGATGGATGGCCGCGACGCCCCTGACACGCCCATGGACGACGAGGATGACGCGGAAAGCGAGGCAGCACACGCGGAAAGCGAACACTTCTTTCCGACCTACCTTACCGGCCGCAAGCTCTTCGAGTACGAGATCCGGGACACCTCATTCCGCAAGCACATCCTCGTCCAATATCTGGTCCTCTTCCAGTACTTGCTTTCCTTCACACCTACTGCCAAGGAGAGCTGGAAGGACTGGAAGAACAAGACGCTGCAGGCCCTCTTCACGCTGGAGGACGTCGACGAGCGCTGGATTCGATCCACGTGGCGCGAGATATTGATCCTGATTCGCGATATTCAGCCGCACGGAAGACTCTTCCTCGAGTCGGTACTCGAGGTGCTCAAGCGCGAAGCCAATTGGATCCGATGGAAGACCGAGTCCTGTCCTTCGATCGAAAAGCCGCCGCTCTCGCCAGAACAGATCTCAGCCTTTGCCTCTGCGAGGGCGTTGCTGTTGCGTAAGCCTGAGCCGTATCCACACAAGCTCGGCACTGCGGCACTCTCGGAGCTCTGGCTCGACGGTCTTCGTCCGCCGGTCGCTGGCACGAGGAGGGTGGAGAATGAGTTGGGCGAGTACATCTCTGTTCCAACGGACGGCCTAGAGGAACTCGAGTTCTTGCCGCCAATCCCCAGCGTGGAACACTACAACAAGTCGATCCAGCGCGAAAAGATGAAGCTCGACTTGCGCAAGAAGCAGCTCGGCATCGACACCGCGATCAGCGAGGCGCAGCTCAGCAAGGAGGACCGGGAGAAGCTGGACAAGGATGAACGCATCCAGGCGACCATTGAGACGATGCAGAGTCTCGCCTGGAGGGCCTTGCGAGTCGCAAGCCGTGATCACCTGCATCTGTTCGGCAAGCCGGAACGACCCGAACACATCGAAGGCCTACTTGAGGCGATTGAGACGGAACGGAATCCGAAGCCCAAGTCTGTAGCTCCGGTCGAGACGCAAGCAACGGAAGAGGGCGCTGTCCAAGCTCAAGGGCCACAAGAGGCGGAGAAAGCTGCCGAGCAAGGTGCGGAGCTAGTGCAAGCTGACACTGCGGATGGACCAGCGGACGCCGGTGTGACACGGACGAACGAGGAAATCAACCCCGACAGCGCTGCCGTGGGATCTTCGGCTGAGTCGAAAGAGCAGGCAGCATCCCATCAGGATGGAGCCGCTCAGGATGAATCGATTGTCCCTGTAATGATTCCCGCAGTTCCGGCCTCCCCTGCAGCGCTGACGCCTTCGGCTGACGCCAAGAAGACCACAGAGACGCCAGACGTGGAGGCAGCCACAGCGCCTGCCACCACGGCTGAGCAAGACGTCGAGATGGCAGAGGCAACATCGTGAATGCTATCCCATTTCCAAACCTTGAGGATCTTGACGTGAAGGCATTGCAAATGATGTCGTATGATGATGTCGAACATGCGTAAGTCTGAGACTGAGCTGAGCGTAGAGCGGGCACACCACGCTACAGATCCGCCAGCTACGATGTTCTAGGCCTTGTTCGTGACAGCTCCTGAACTCGCATGAGCTTATCCACGAGAGCCGGTGCCTAGAGCATACATTCAAGGCTACACCCGCTGACGTGTCGGACGGATGCAGCACTCGGCGATTCGTCGGGCCGGACGTGGCTGAGCAAGTGTAGAGCGGTCAACGATGTGTAGCGACTCGCTTCCGCACTCCCACACTCCCGCACATCCGCACGTGGGGCATATAGTCTCAGGATTGATCACGTTCGTAACCTCCCGTCTTCCCCTCTCGACCGTACTCAAGAGTCTGTATCGACACACACAGCTGCATCCGACACCCACTCGATACATCGCAGGCGATTCTCCTCTCCTCATCGCAATGACCGTGCTCTCGAACCTCAAGATCTCGGTCAACATCAATCTACGAGATCGAGATGCACCGAGCCTCGTCCTCATCAAGGCTTTCTACGATGTGACCAAGGATGAGTACCAGCGCTTTGCTGGCGAGGCGGCTCACCTCGAGTTTTTCGAACGGGTTGACCAAGGTCGTTGCCCCTATGGCAACACGCAGGTCAAGTTCCGGGCTCCGCAAAAGAGTGCTGCCAGCGTGGTCTCTCAGGCTGTCAGTCTCGGCACCAGATTCGGGGCGCGTATCAGAGCGAAGGCCCTCGGAAGGACCTCTACTCGCGTGGATCGGGTGGATCGAGGAAAAGCTGCGCACGGCCACAAGCGCAGCCTCTCGCAACGATACGGAAACGGAAACCCGTGGAGGATGGCGTTCGAGAATCGCCCTCGCATCTCCAGCAACAGTGCCGCGTCGACTCCAGCTCCTGCTCAAGCTGATAGCACAGTCGAAAGGAGTGAAACGAGCATTCCTGCTTCCGCTCCTGCTCCAGTGAACGAAACCAACAAAGACAGCATGATGAAGATCCTGGCTCCCGAAATCCATGAGGCCGTCGCTGCTGCCCTAGCCAACGCCCTTGCCGCTGCTTCCGCTGCCGCTGCTGGATCGTGCTCTGGTACCGATTGAGCTAGTCTGCAGGCCACCTCTTCGTATGATGTAACCAAGTCTCGTGTCGAAGCGTCTCCGACACGTACAGCAGTCCGCTCGATCTTCCGCCTATACCAAAAATCTATTACCATTGCCCTTTTCCATGATGCTCTATTGCTGTTTGGCTGCGATCTTCTTTGCTTCCCGCTTTGCCTGTTTCTTCTGCTGCCTTCTGGACCCTTTCTGTTCCGCCACCTCTTCGACTGGTTTAGCGATTCCTCCATCCTCGTCGGGCGCCGAGACCGCAGTCTGGAAGGTCGAGCTTGCCCACAGGATGGCGCACACCGACGCAAATGCGCTAAATGCGACCATGTAGCGCGGATCGCTGCCCTCGCTGTAGTAGCCGGAGCGCTTCTTGATGTCGTTCTCGTATGTGATGAGCAGCATGGTGAAGGCGAGCAGCGACAGAGTCATTCCGATCACCGGGTTACCGGCCACACCGAGGCGGGTGCGGAATTCGAAGTTGATCAGGGCACCAAGGTCTTTGAATGCGACTAGGAAGAAGGCGGCAAATATCGTAGTGGCAGCAAGCGCGTAGAAGGAAGGCATGACCGAATCGGTCGGCCATTTCGGCTGCGCAAGTTGGAAGATCTGACCGGGCAGAAGCGTTTGTTGAGCCGCCGGAATGGCAGGAGCGGCGGGCGAGATGAGGAACTCGCGATAGTTGGCGGGAAACATGGGTATCCTCGTAGGAGGTGTGATTTCGAGCATGTTGATGTGCAATGTACGAGGAAGAGTCGCCTTCACAGGTGCAGGTGCGGGTTAGGATGTCAGTGACGGCCAAGGCGTGGCGGGACGGTTGTTGGCGTCCCTTCCGCAATGTTGGATGGACGGAACTGTGCTTTGAACGTCTCGTGCGAAAAGACAGGTGAGTTGGGAAATGCTCGCCTTCGTCATGGTGCGCCAAATTGGCCATGCGAGGTAGCTTCTTCCGACCCTCGAGCCGACCCGACCTTTCACCCGAACATCCGCCAAAGGCACACATTTTCGCTCTCCACCAAATCAACTCCCATCACATCTCCCACATTCAACCCTGCTTCGATTCCGACACAGACGAACAAGCCCACACCACAGTTCAACGATGGCTACCTCTTCCTCATCTTCAGGCCGCAGCAGCACCTTCTGCCTGGTCAAGTCGTCCATCAACATCGACGAGACCTTTCTCGTGCCACACATTGTGCGACCGGGCGAGACGATCTCGTCGTCGGGACTAGTCTCGCGACCCGGTGGCAAGGGTGCCAACGTGTCTGCTGCGATTGGGCTTGCAGGCGCCAAGGTCTCTCTATCTGGTGCTGTGGGCAAAGACGCTACGTGGCCGATCGACGAGCTCAAAGCGCGCAAGGTCATCACCGACGACGTGGAGATCCTGGACGGCGTCCCAACAGGCCGTGCTTTTATCCAGATTGCCGAGGACGGCGAGAACAGCATCGTCCTGCTCAAGGGAGCCAACTTTGCCACGGACAGTAGCTCGGCCGACCCTTCCACGGCATTCACATCCAACCCGCAGAGGCAGATCACCCACCTCGTCCTGCAAAACGAGATTCCGCTTCAGACTACCGTCGCTTTCCTCGAGTATGCCAAGTCGGACAAAGCAGGCAACCACATCACAACGATCTTCAACCCATCGCCTATGCTGAGCAATGCGCAAGTCGAGTCGTTTCCCTGGAGCAGCATCGACGTGCTGGTCGTGAACGAGGGCGAGAGCATCGAGCTGCTCTCGGTTCTCGATCAATCGGCCGCCTCGAAGCTCGAATCGCTAGCTACAGGCGAGGACAAGTCGCGCCAGGTACTCGAGGCGCTCTCGGGTCTGAAGCAGCTGAGCTCAACTGCGTGGCTCGTGCTCACCCGCGGAGGACAAGGCGTCATGGCCAACGTGCAACTCGCCGACTCTGCGTCTCAGCGCAGCTTCTTCAATATCCCGCCGTTCAAGCCAAAGCAGGTGCGCGACACGACTGGCGCAGGAGACACGTTTGCGGGCAACCTGGTCGCAGCCTTGATGGGCCACAATGTCGATGCGGACGAAGCTCTGACCTCGTCAGCCAGACCAAAGCGCGAGCAATTTGTCAAACAGGCTCTGGAATGGGCTTCACGCGCTGCCAGCCTTGCATGCGAAAAAGAGGGCGCCATGCAGAGCATCCCTGCCGCCGACGAGGTCAAAGCGCAAGCTCCATGAGCACACACATTCTCTACATCGCCTCACTTTGCAATGCCATACGCCAGTCCAAACAAGATGCAGAGGATCAACGAAGACGGGAAAATGCAATTGCTGCCGGGGCCTGGGCGGGGGATGGAACGAGAGATGCAGCGACGCGAGGATGAAAGAAGGACGAAGCTACTTGTTCTCGCGGACGACCTTGTCGATCCAGCTGGCGACGTACTCGACGTTGTTGGTGGTGAGGCCGGCCATGGAGATGCGCGAGTTGGCGGTGAGGTAGATGTGGCCCTCCTCGAGCATGCGCTTGCACTGGTTGGTGTTGAGGCCGAGGAAGGTGAACATGCCGATCTGCTTGAGGATGTGGTCCCAGTTGCCCGGTGTCTGGAACTTCTTGGTGAGCAGCTCAAAGAGGCTCTCACGCATGGTGATGATGCGGCCCGCCATCTCCTGGACGTCCTTCTGCCACTGTGCAAACAGCGCTGGGTCGGTGAGGATCATCTTGACGACGCGCGCGCCGAACGCAGGCGGATTCGAGATTTCGGAGCGCTGGATGGCGGCGAGCTGCGAGAAGACGGCGGCGCTCTGGTCGGGCGTTGCCGAGACGACGTGGAGCGCACCCACACGCTCGCCATAAAGACCGGCGTTCTTGGCGAAGCTCTGGCAGATGAGCAGCGGGATGCTCTTGCGCGACACAAAGTGGCGCACCGCCCACGCGTCGCGGTCGAGGTCGCCCGAGGCGAAGCCCTGGTATGCACAGTCGAAGAAGGCAAAGTGGCCCTTCTCGACAAAGATGTCGGCGATCTGCTTCCACTGCTCCTGCGTCGGGTCGACACCGGTGGGGTTGTGCGCGCACGCGTGCAGAAGGAAGACGCTCTGGTTCTTGGCGTTTTTCAACGCGCTGGTGAAGCCGTCAAAGTCGAGCGCAATCGTCTTGGCATCGTAGTACGGGTAGTCGACGGGGGCGATGCCGACCGTGTTGAAGATGGCCTTGTGGTTGGCCCAGGTGGGATTCGAGATGTGGATCTGTCGCTCCACGCCGAACTTCTGGTACTGGTAGAATCGCTGGAGGAAGACAGCACCCAGATGGTTGGCACCGGTTCCCGAGATGGTCTGAACGGAAGCGACGCGCTTCTCGGCGATCGCAGGCGAGTCGGCGCCGAGGATGAGCTTGGCGGCGGCATTTGTGAACTCGGGCAGACCGGTGATGTTCAGGTATTCGTGGTCGACAGTGTCGTCGGCAATGAGATCCGATTGAGCCTTCTTGACCGAGGGCAGGACGTAGGGCTTGCCGTTGTTGTCGCGGTAAGCACCCACACCGAGGTTGACCTTCTTGTCGTACTTGTCCGCCTTATACGATGCGGTCAGCTTGAAAATACTGCGAGCAGCCGAGAAAAGAGAGAGAGAGAGAGGGGAAGGAGCGGTCAGAGCACTGAGTCGCCGAGGCTAACGCTGAACGCCGGACACTTACGCATCTTCTGGGGCCTGGGGAACGGCACTCCAAACAGCCAGGGCTGGGGATGACGAGTCGGCAGAGAGAGATCCCATGGTGAGTACGATGGTCCAGGAGTCCTTTCTGGGGAGCTGAACGGAGATGAATGAATGTGGTGGGAGGGAAGGTGGGGATCCAAGGGCGAGGGTGGGATGGCAGGCTGGCAATCGAGAAGAACCGCTGTCAAGTAGCTACGGTGTCTCGAGGCTGGCAGCTGATCTGAGCGGAATCGCTGTTCGACGCTCGAGGCTGGGCAGGGAGTCACAGTGCGTTGGAGCCAGATACTGACGTCCCCCCGCACCAAAGCTTTTTGGGCAGCGTGACCCTGCGGAAGATTGCCGACTCGCGCCCGCAACCCTGTCCCACCTCGGCGAAATCCAGCGCTCCTATCGGCAGCGGCGGACCGCGTCTCTCGCGCGAGAAAATACCCACTCCACTTCGGACTGCATCCACACGACAATGCCAGATGCTACTCTCCTCAGCTTGCAATCAGCCTGCGACTGCAGCTCGACTCTCCACCTTTCGACCCATTCGCGAGTGCTTTATGACCCGCAACTACCAATGTGCGCGCGCAGAACCCGAGACTGTACAGAATGTCGGAGCGGGGCAGAACTTACCTGCTTGACTGATGCCGTTGGAGCCCGAGAGATGGCCCTGAATGTTGTCCAAACGATTTGCCGCCATGGTTGCTTTCCGAGTCCGGTTGGTCTAGGGAGATGTCTTGATGGTATGTTCCCGTCCGAGCTGTTGTTGCAATGCCGCAGTCCGTCGTGAGAGGGAGTGGATGTCAGACTGATCGCGGAGAAGAGGTGAAAGTGGTATTAGGGACGAACGGTATGGAGGTGAGGCCCGACGGCTCTCCATCCGGCTACTAGGAGGAGCCTCTGCGGCCCAGACACGACGATGGAGCCGGGCACAACCTCCACGATCATCACGACGCAGGTCGCCGGCGCTAACCTGCCTCGATGCGGGGTTGCCTTATGCATTTGTCTTGTGAGAGCCGTTGGGCGCGCCTCGCAATTTCGGAAAGGCTCGGACGATCAGGGTTCACAAACAATCGGGCACACTACAGGGTTCCAGCCCGATTCAAGTGTCAAACAGCGCCCCCAAGTTGCCGAGTGCGGCTGCGAAGCGCGGCATTGTGGACTGGATCTGGGGGTCACGGCAAAAAGCTGGCATTGCGACATGGGCTCTCAGTCAATTGTGCACCGTGGAGTGTAGTTGTGCTTCCGACCCGGACGACGGAAAAGGACGCAGGCGGCTGAGAGCCCTGGTAGCCTCGTTCAAATTGCACCCGCGTCCTCCTCTTGATCTCTTCGACTGCCAGATGCGACGAGCTTGGAGCCGAAGTCGGTACCATCGACTGCGCTAGCGCCCTTAGGGCATCCGACCGTGCCCCGGCAGGTCGGGTTGAGTGGAGTGTGCTGCCGTCGTACTCTGATGGGGATGCTCGGACAGCACCAATGTCAGCAAAGGACGCAAGCTCAGACCGGCACTTACGCTTCCTTATTGTGCCATCGATTCCCAGAGTTCGAGCAGGAGGTCCACGAGCATCTGGTTGAGCTGAGCAGTGGTGGTCGGTTGCTCGGCCCTGTAGGCCTCAACAGCCCTGAGGAAGGCATCCTGCACACGTCGCGTATCTATGGTGCGATGGTCGGGGAGGTTGAGCAGGTCGGGAGTGCTTCGCGTCGAGGGTCCAGCCGTCGAGGGTCCAGCCATCGGAGGGCTGCCAAAAAGGGTGTACGAAGGCGCGAAAGTGTTGTTGGGCAAGCACGGGCCTCGTGCAGCGGCGGGCATCGCAGGGTAGTCCTTCTTTCGATCCCATCGGCCACCAAGCTGTCCCAACGGGCCGTAGACCTGGATGCGGGCATCCTCCTTCGTCATGCCGTGTTCCTCGGTCAGTCTGACCATCTCGGCAACGTTCGTCCTCTCTAGGATCCACTTCTTCGGGCATCGTTTGGCCCTCCTCTTGTCAGAGCAGCCCAGGCACTTCTCCACCTGCGAATCCGCGTCGGGTGCAACGCAGGGGCGGTGATGCGTGCTGCAGTCGGGGCAAGGGATATCCGGAAAGTGCTCCGCGGTCAGCCACTGCCCCATCTGTACCATGGCTGCCGAGATGACCCGAGGGTGTGGACGACCGCGTTCATTGCCTTCGGCGGCTGCAACAGAAAGGATCAGTGACGGTCCGGAGTATTCGATCGAGCCTCAAACGAGGCGGCCAGCATGCTAGCAAAGAAACACTCACCAGAGTCATCGTCGTCGCGGCTTCGTCGGCCCAAGACCTGTCGCGAAGGGCCTTCTGCAGCTCAACGAACGCATCAGCGAAAGGCACAGCTGCCATTGAGCCGCGATCGTGTCCGTCGACGGCCTCGACAGAGCGACAGCACACTGTACTTACCAGGTTCGTCTTGCTGGCGCGCTCGCACCTGAGGAGCGGGTCGTGGAGTCGGGCTTCGAACAGCAGGGACAAAAGTTGCCCTTTGATCGACAGGGCGTCGAGTTGCGCTTGGAGCGGGGGGTCGAGTTGCGCTTTGAATAGGTCGCAGGAGGCCATCAGGCCCTGGGACGAATCCCTGGCCACCCGCAAACTCGTCGTCGTCGTCCTGCATAGCGCTGCCCAGCAGAGGGTTCGAGGAGCGCAGGAATATGTTGAAAGCCTAGGACATGCCGTCGAGATGGTGAGCGTATGGTGATGGCTGCTGCGATGGAAGCAGCAGTGCGGACGGACACAGTTCGGATCGACACAGTGCGGATGGACCAAGTGCGGAACGACGCAGTGCGGAACGGCGGAAACATCGGTAACACAGAAATGTCCGCTGCTCCGCATCCGCACACCAGCCAAGTCGACGCCGATTCGGGCTGCATCGCCGACACACCGGACTGCTCCGACTGCAACGCACTGCTCCGTTGTGCGATGGAGTGCGGCGAGGAATGGAGAGGAAAACGCAAGAGCTGGCCGGGTAATGCTAGACTTGTGTCAGACACCTCATCAACGCGTCTCGGAAAACACTGCCAGTCGCAATAGACTCTGACGAAATGAAGCCAGCAAACCTTGCAGCTCGTGTAAACACCAGCTGCTCTGCATTGCACGGATCCGCTCAAGCACGGAGCTCTGGGAGATGCAAAGCTTGCATATCTGCTCTGCCAAAGTGCCTCGAAGCGGAACAAGAAACGAAGAGGAGAGGCAAGGAGGGGAAAGATGGGGGAGAGAGGGGGAGGGGCCTGGGGTTTGTAAGGCGAAGACGGATGCTCAGCTCTGTCTGTCCCTCGGTCTCGTTGTCTACGCGCTTCCGGCAGCTCTTGGCATACCTGACCGCGACTTTTGCCCTCTTTCCTTCGCCGCGCAGGGCCGAGGGCCCGGAGCGGCATCGGACTGCGTCTTGGAACAGCGAAAAGCGTGATTTTGGTCCTCAACACGCATGAGCTAGGTACGAGAAACTCATCTATTACGTTGGATCATGCGCTCGTCTCGTCTGCGACCTTCTGCGAGCCGACCGAGGTTAGGCGTTTGTCGAAGGCAATGAAAGCCGAGCTGCCCTCAAAGAGCTCATCGATCGACTCTAGTGATCGGCAGCTCGTCTCTGGGTAGAAGGCCCAGATGAACGGCATGCAAAAGAAGTTGAGCGCGCCGAACAGGAAGCTGTGTACCGATGAGAGTGCCGGTGAAGACGAGTGTCAGCTTCAGCTGTGTCAGATACGAGAGTCATAGGTGCCGTGCACTTACAAGGTGTTGTACTTGATGGCGTTGAACAAGAATGGCGTGATCTCGGTGACTACTCCGTTGCCGATGCTCCATCCAAATACGGACCAGCTACCGCCTTTAGCTCTGATGAAGAGCGGAAACACCTCGGTCGGGTACAGCCAGGGAATCGCCAGCCAGCCAGCGGCGAATGCGGCCGTGTAGATAAAGATCATGGAAGCCAGAACAGCGCCCCATCGTTTGGCGAGGGCCAGATCCGGACTGACCGACTCTGGTCCATACTCGAGCGCGTATTTTGCCGCGACACCGGCGATGAACAGACTGATGCCCATGATGATGTTGCCCCAGTACAGCGCTTTGCGTCGACCCGTGCGGTCCAGCGTAAATACCGAAATGAAGACCGCGAACATGTAGGATACCTGCGGCGCGAAGTGTGACAGCGTGGAACGGAAGGGTCAGTAAAAAAAAGCAAGCCCGCTCATCCAAACGAGCTCGGGGCACTTACATCGTTGAATCCGGAGAGGAGTCGAGCGAGAGTATCGCCGAAGCCTCCGGAGCGGAAGACCGTGGGTGCGTAGACAGTGACAACTCCGATTCCGGCCAGCTCCTGTAGAATCTGGAGCCAGACCACGAGGATAATCCTGCGACGAAGGTGGAGCTTGCCGCTAGACGAGACGAGCTGGCTGATGAAGCCGTCTTCGCCCTTCTCCATGCGGATTCGCTCGAGTTTTGCGACCTGAAGAATCTCCTGGAGCTCGGCGGTCACGGCGGGGTCGTTTTCGTTGTACGGGTGGGAGCGGAGTCGGGTGAGGATGCGCTTGGCTTCATCCACCCTGCCCATTTTGGCGAGCCAACGAGGAGACTCGGGGAAGAAGGGCAGGGCGACGAGGAGCATCGCCACAAAGACGAGCTGGAAAGCGAGCGGAAATCGCCAGTTGAAGCCGTTTGTCTCGATATTTCGCACGCCAAACGACAGCCAGTACACCAACATCAACCCAAAGATGTTGCATACGAATTCGAATCCGATTGCTTGCCCACGCTTGTCATGCTTCGAGAGTTCCGCTACCCAAACAGGCACCACCGCATTGTAGGTTCCAGTCCCGAATCCGCAGAGCACTCGGGCGAACATCATCCAGGTGATGTTCTGGGCGGAGGCCTGGAGGGAAGCGCCGAGGACGACCCAGACGGAGCCGAAGAGGATGGCCTTCATGCGTCCGACGCTGTCGGCGATGTATCCACCGCCGAGGCCGCCGATCAAAGTGCCGAGGTAGTAGATGGCGACGATGCCGCCGATGGCCGCACTATCTCGTTCGGTCTGGGAGCCATTGACGCCCGAGTCGGTGCCCATGAGGCGGAGGTAGTCCTTGGACTCGTTGACGCCGGACATGACTCCCTGGTCGAAGCCGAAAAACATCACGGCGATGCCCGCCACCATCTGAACGGCCCACGTCATCTGAAAAGCGGTGAGCTTGAGCACGCGCTTTTCATTGTAGATGGGCGGGATGAACTTGCTCCAGAATGGCTCGGCGAGCTCGGGGAAGTCGGACGAGTCGACTTCGCGCAGCGAGCTCGTCTTGTACAGGTCGGGTGTGCCATCCTTGGAGAGCTTGGGTTCGTGCGTCGGCGTTGCCGCAGCGCGGGTTGGAGAGCCTGGTGAGTCCATGGCGGGGAAGGGGAGAGAGGTGCGAATGTGTGCAAAGGGGGCCATCCGAGTCCGTCGACGGACTCAGCGGTGTCGCGGTCTTTATATCTGAGCTGACTAGACCGGCCTCGTCCGACAAGAGGCGGTCACTACGCAAGCGCACCGGCAAAGAGGCCTGACAGCATGTGCGGACCGGTACTGATTCCCCCCACGCAGACCTCCCCAAAGTACGGGTGTTTTTGCGGAGGAGAATGGGCAAACCCGAAGCGAGGTTCGAAGCGTCTTGGGAGCGCAAAGTGCGGAGACTCGGGTCGGGCAATTTAGAGCAATTAAAGCACCGATGCCGCTTCCGTTGGACCGAAACGCCGGGCATGCTTTCCACTCTCGCCCTCCGAGTGCGCCGGTCCCTTTCGACCCGTCACCACACCATCTTAAGGAGCGACATCACGCGCCAGAGAAGACGCAGCTCTCAGGATCGCAACCTCACTGTACATCTTAATTCGGTACAAGGCTCGTTGAGCGCCTCAGCTCCACGGGTCGCACGAGCGCTTCGGCTTGGTACAGGCGGGTCGGAGAGTAGAATGACGATACGATGTGCTACGTAATGGAGAGGTGGGAGAAGGTGTCAGGTGGGATGGAAGCGAAGCGGAGTCTGTAATTGAGCAAGGGAAAGAAAGCCGGTCAAAAGGCCAGCCTAGGTATGCCTCCTTGCCGTTGGCGTTGGCAGAGCGCAGTGCAAGACAGGTGTCATGAGTGAGGACAGATTTCCGATGCCGAAATTGCCGCCGCCCTTTTCGAGAGGCCAAATTCAAGCGCGAAATCGCCGGCGAGGTGCGGGCGATGTTAATTGTAGGTCTAACAAGATGAAGCGAAAATTCAGAGGGGCGCCGCGAGCAGCGACGCGCAGTGCAGCTGCACTCTACTCGAAAGACCAACACTTTGCTCGCAGACGCGTGGCAGCTCGCATGCGGGATCCTCTCTTCCTTCCTTCGTTGTGTCAACGACCTCATCACCGCTTTGCCCTGCCCGCTCGGTCATCATACCCATTCGAGCACCGACCTTGGTGCCGTCGTAGCGATGTCGGAAAGCGACAAGCTGACGCTGGCGCGCGTGGCGTGGATGCAGTCGATCGTCTCGCACCGCATCGTACCGGTGCGCTTTGCCAAGCACCTCTATGCGCGCTGCTGTGCGGTGGCGCAGACGGCGTACGAAGAGAACACGTATCGGTCCATGATGCAGGATGCATCGAAGCATCTGTCGGTGCTGGATCTGGAGCTGCGCACGGTCAACGACCAGGCGTCCGGTCAAGCCGTGCTGGCACTCGTGAATACCAAGCAAGACACGCTCATCCAGGGCGCCACGCGCTACTCGCCCCTCGAGATCTCGCTGGTCAAGAAGCTCGTCGAGGAGATCTTCAAGGCGCGAAAAGAGGCATATGCAATTCCGGCCCTCGAAGCGGTCAGACTCGGCAGCAAGTTGAGGACCCATCTGACTAGGGATGCAACCGAAGAGCTGCTCAGAAACTTGGTCGACCACAAATGGCTGGACTATTCTTCGTAAGTTTCCACCTCACCGAGTTCGAGAAGGAAAGGAAAGACGTGCTGACGTTCGGCTGCAGGGAGGGGATTTATACGCTTTCGACGCGGTCGTTGTTGGAGCTGCGCAACTATCTGCAGAACGAGTTTGAGGAGCACTACCACACGTGCACGCACTGCAAGGATGTGGTGACGCTGGGACTGGCATGTTCGCATGCACCGCGTAGCTGTTCGGCGCGCTATCACATGCACTGCGCGCGCAATACTATCGGCTCCGCTGTAAACGACGACGAAGCCCTGGCGCGATTGACGGGCTTTCCGTGCCCCGTTTGTCGCCGCACCTGGAAGTCCCGTCCCATCGGCCCCAAGGCTCTCGTGCTCGTGGATCGCGATACTCCCTTCAGCTCCCAGCCCGACCACCCACGACACCAACCTGCGCAAAACGAGAACGACGATTCCGACGCCGACGTCGAATCCCAACTCGCCTCGCTCGACGGCGAAGAGAGCGCACAGCAGCAACAGCCTGTCGCGGTCAAGCCAGAACCAGCGGCATCCCAACCCGCACGACGACAAAGCCAGCGTCGCCGCATCGACGACAGCGACGATGACGAACAAGACGTCAAACCCCGCCGACGCCTCCGTTAGCTTTCGCACCCTTCGCAATCATACCCCGAGCCTTGGACCTATCCACTCAAACCAGGTTATGAGCTCAGCTCTTCTCCGCTCACTTTCGTCAGACACGCGCGCACGGTGGAGAGGACAAGACGATGTTGACAAACGTCTATGGGGAGTACTAATACAAGCGATGCAGAGGTATGACGTCGACACTGAGTTGGCATGCGACCTCGAAGAGGTCAAGACACATGCCGTGGTATGGTGGAATTATGCTGGATGGGAACCGGGAAATGTTGCAGAGAGGACCGAGCTGGTGAGCTTAGCGCGCGCACCGACTTTAGTGTGCGAGACCGCGCGTTGCCTGGGTGCGTTCGCTCTCGAGCTTGGCCTTGTTGGCGGCAAAGGCGGCGTTGCGCACCTGCTCGACCTGCGCACACTTGTGCTGCTCGGGCAGACGGTGCTTCCCGCAAAACTTGAGGCTGCAGTGCGGGCACTCGCCTACGAGGTTGATGGCTGCATCCTTGCACTGCGACTCGGTACCCGCACCGTTCTGGCAGCGCTTCTTGGCACCGCCACGCAGTCGCAGAACCAGGTGGAGCGTCGACTCCTTCTGGATATTGTAGTCGGAAAGCGTGCGGCCGTCTTCAAGCTGCTTGCCGGCGAAGATGAGGCGCTGCTG